GCTTCCCCACTAAAATGAAGATGCCATGTACCACACAGGGTTGCTGTGTAGATGAAATTGTTGGAGCCACACCAGGACTCCAACAATTTTGAGTTTCCTTCTTCAGTAAGCACGAAGCATACTCTGCCAGGCTCATAGTAAGAGGATTGAACATTACTCAGCCACCACTGAAGGGGTGGGCCACTCCAAATCATCTCTGAAAAATCCCTTCCAAATAAAAGAAAAATTGGAAAAGTATTATAAGTGTAATGGCTAATGAATGTGATTGCAGGGAAGCTTTAAGTCAAATTAATGATATATACAAACTATTTTTATGTATTCAACCTATAAACATCCACATTTTGGAAATAGAATTTTACCAATAGGGATTTTTCAGTTCTGTATTTAGACTTTCATAATATAGTATTGTCATATATATATAAAATTTACTTCATTCTGACTCCTTAGTCAGTGACACAGTCTATGATGCAAATTGTTCTGGAATAAATAAGACTCACTTGACTGAATGATTTCCATTGAGCAAATAAACTGGAAACTTCTATAATTGGCAGAAAGTTAATCTCCAAATGTGAGTATTCAAAACGTTGCTTTGGACGAAAATTTAAAAAGAAAATACAGCTAGTTTCTGCTTGGAAAGCAGTTGACCTTCAAACTATTAGCTTGATTCTAAATTGGAGTTTTTTGCTGAGTTGTCTTGAAAGTTTTTTCATCTTGTTTTGTTTTTGTCCTGTGTACAAAAAGGTCCAAAAGAACTTCAGCTTCTGTTTATTTATATGATTTGGGTTTAGGAAGCCTGTTAGTTCTTAAATACCCAATTATGATCTTCTCTGTCCCAAATGATATATTTTTCATACTTGAGTCTCAGAATTGCCAGCAACTCTATGAGAAGATGACTGATTCCCCAAATTAGATTTTCGGTAATGCACGAGATAAGACTTCATCATTTTCTGTGTAAAAACCAATATTGTTGGGGACAATTTAAAGAGATTTGGAGAAAAGAATTTTGCCTGTGAATCTTATGGGATCCCCCTCTGCCGTGCTTTTATCTGAACCAACATAGCACCACTATGTCTTGCTCTGCCCAGATTCAAAAGGAGAGAATATAGGCCCCACCTCTCAGTGGAGGAGTGTCCACATCATAGTGTAAGTAGACCACGTGAGATGAGATAGAGTCCCTGGTTTATTCAACTTTAGCAAAGGAGGAGGAAAGAGAAACCCAAATTCTCGATTTTTAACACAGATCTATACAAATCACTCCTCTGAAATCAGAGAAACATTCCTGCATAGCCACTGAGTACATGGACAGTAAAATCTTAGAGATCTGGTATTAAATCCCAAATCTGCCACTTTTTCACTTGCAAACATTCTTTCCTCTTAAGATTGTTGAGAGTTAATTAGGTAATGAAAGTAACTGCCTTAAGCACCACTCTAGGCACCAACCGCAGCTATTATCATAACAAATAGGTCACTACCGGGTCATTTGCCAGAAACCTTAGCTTTCTACATGTAATGCCTTTGACTAAGCTTCATTTCAACCAGAGTTAATTAAAAATAACTCAATGACCCTATCCAGTAGATCATTCGACTACTATTTACAGTCATGACTTTCAGTTTGTTTATTGCTATATGAGTTCAGTGTTAATAGAAGCAGAATTAAGGTTTAAATTGAATAAAATTGCATTAAAAGTAATCCTATTTAATGCTTTAACTGGAGTGTGTTCCAAAAAATTCCACTCTTCTTTGTGGGTTCCCATGCCCTCTGATAGCAAGACTTCTGAAAGTGCAGTATAACCCCACTGGAAAATATATTGCATTTTGCTTTGATTCATTTTTCCTTCTCTTGATTAAGCACATTGAGTTTGGTTTTGGTAAAATGTCTAGTTTATACATTAGAATTGTGTTGATATTTGTGAAGTAAGTGTACACTTATTTTTCTTTGGATATATACCAAATGGCAATATAGTTTTTAGTTATATTTAGTATATATGTTTTCATAAGATTCTCTGAGAGTATCCTATGACATGACATAAACGGATTCTGGAATTTTAAGTTAAGCAGAGACTCTAGATTTCGGGAAATTGAAAAGATGCCAGAAATGCAGACTTTTTCCAGTTGCCCTTGAAATTACTCAGAAATAGTACCTTCCTCGACCCTTTCCTTTATTAAACAGTGGGTGGTGTGACTATGTCAGAGGTGGCAGAGAGAAATTTCCACAGGGGCCCGACTGCTTAAACTGTAGTAGCTCTTCTTGCAGCAGCATCTTCAGTGGGGAGGTGAGAAACCACATGAAAATACTGCTGCACCATTAAGACTCTTACATAAGCATTGTATGGCCTTCTCTGCTTTAGGCGGGACTTGGCTCTGTTGGTCACAATTATTACCAAAGTGGATAGATAATACCAACTCAGTCTTCCTAAGAGAATGTCAGGGAGGAATAATTGCACAGACTTTCCTTTATTCTTATGGTGTGAAGTTATTTTATTTCAGGAAACTTACATTCTTTGTTGTACTAAATTGTAATAAAATATAGTTTTGCCAAGGAGGAAAAAAAGAAGAGAAGGAATGGAGCAGTTCAGTACATTACGTATGTTAACATTTATCTCTCTTAGGTCTTAAAACCTTAAGGATTTAAAGTAGACGAATGGACTCATCTGATTTATGAGTACTGTTTGAGTGCCTGTCAAAGATGGCAGATCACAGATTTTACATACACTAGGAGAAAGAAAAGACATTGTTCAACAGAGGAAATAATACATGGTTAAAGAAATTCCTAGTGGCATTCTTTGAGTACCAAATAGTGCTGAGGTGAGACATTATAACTCTCTTATGATCTCTTATTTTACAGTCAGGGGTTTCTGTATTCCACAGATGTTGCAAAATTTAACTATTTTTAGTTACTTTTAAATAATGTTACAATGATAGTGTATATTAAAGAAGACAAATGTGAAATGTAAGATAGAATTTGTGGGGTTTTTTTCCCTGTTGGGGGGAATTTCCAAAGGAAGCAAAACAGTGATAAGAATTAAAATAGGAAATTTGAGCAATTTTCTACAATATCATGGAATGTGTTCCGCCTTTGTGTTTTGTTGAAAGTTGTTTTATGAGTGTATTATGACTATTATTCGTTAGCCATTGAGATTAATTTCCCCTTATAGTTTTGTAATTACATTTGTGAAATACACTTTTAACACCTAATCACCGTCAGGGCACTCTTAAGAGATGTAATTAGAAAGTCCATCAGACATTCTGTCTTAAATGTAATGCTAATTAGTACTAACTCATTTTTTTTTACTGCAACATGCTATTGGTATCATGAATGCAGCTTTAATTATAGAGAATGGTTCTTACTGAAATGGTATTCCCACTGGTTTAAGTGCCTTATTTTAATTTGTGGATTATTCCTTATTGGGGACTATTGTCAAACTTTTAAAAAAGTATGCTTCCAGCTATCTGAAAACAGATTGAAAGCAGAGCCAAGCAATTAAGGTGAGACTAGTATCATTTTCCTTCCTTCCTTCTACAGCATTCTTATTCTGTACTCCAAAGCTACACCACAGGGAACATTCTTGTCATCAATGTAAATAAAACACAGAACAAGAGCAAGATGGTTCATTTTGTCTCTTCTCTTTTTCTCTTTTTTTCCATTTAGCAAAAGCAATTCCTATGTGTTGCAAAAATTAGAAAATGCAGACAAGCAAAAAATAAGATAAAATCACTTTTAGTCCCACCACCTGGAGAGGTTCCAGTACCATCCCTTTAAATTACATATTGTGTTGGGATATTGAAGTAATTCGATTAAGGAGTATTAGTTGTAATCTAGCCCAATGTCCCTTGCTGGCCAACTCTAGAATTGGCACAATTCCATAGAGAGCAGCTTTGAAACTGACATTGAAGCATTTGTGAATAATTGCTTCAACAGAGTTGAGTTAGAAAAAAGTCTAAATAATTTACATCTATCTAAGCAATAATGATTCCAAAGTATGATTATTAGCTTACATGCATCTAAATAAAAGTCAATAGGCAATACAGTTGATCTGGAAAATTAGATTGCCTAATGTTTTTAAAATAAGTAGCCATAAATCTCTTAATGCCTTTTAGATTTGATGCTTATTGGAGGTTTTTAATGGTTATAATGGGTTGCTAATGAGAAACTAAGAATACTCATTGGCCTATAACTTTTCCACAAAGAATGTCCATGAAGAGACTTTAAAGGAAAATATAGTGTCATTATTTGAAATTAATTGTAAAAACTTATACAGAAAAGGTGAAATTCTTTAAAAATATCAAGTAAAAATATTTCTTAACCAAGTGAAAGGATGAAATATACTCTAACATATTTAACAACCTTCAAATATAATGTTGTTAATTTAAGAGACAATAAATCTGAAAGACTTCTGTATTTTTTCCAAAGAAAAATTTTACATAATCTTTAAGGAGCAGATGAACTAAAGAAAAAAAATATTGACAACTTATTTTCAAACTATCATCACCTAATATTTATTTTAAATGTGCATGTTTTATGAGTCAGTACGAAATATGGAAAGAGAATAGATTTTAAAGTAAGAACTATCTGCAGATTCTGTCTCTGACACTGAATGACTTGAAGTCTTAGTCAAATTACTTAACTTCTGTTAACCGTTAATTCCTTATATATAATGTGGAGATAAAATGCTTATTTGCATTTGATATGAGGATCATGTAATATGCATAAATTGCCTGGTTTTTAGCATGCATTCAGCTCATTTTAGTTTCTTCCTTCCTTTCCCACTAGTTCTTCCCCTCACATCTCCCTCCAAAATTAGTCCATTTTAACATGTTTTAATTTGGCCAAATACTACCATATATTCTTGTGTATCAGTCAACCAGGATACCAGGTAGATTTTCTTGATAAACATTGGGCCCCAACTATATCTTTCCAAAGAATATCAGTACTTTCCTGGGCTAAAAACAGAGACTAAGGGAAGAGCTCTGTTGCTTGTCACCTACCTTCCAGTAGTTAGTTCAGGTCCCCGGAAGACCTGCCCATTAGCAACAGCGGAGAATCATTGAACTTATGTTAGAGTCAACTCGTACTTGGAGAAGCTGTTGCTAGTCAAGTTTCCTTTAGAAAAAGCCGCAGATCCTGTTCAGCTTAACTCTTGGTCAACTCAGCTATTCCAGTTCAGCTCATTGACTTCATGTAAATTCTAGCTCTTCTTTCTGCACTGCTTCCTTTAATTTCTATCACTAAATGCATACCATCACCACGAAGAGGTGAGGAAACACAAGGAGATGTCACAGGAATATGGTCCAGATATTGGAAAAATATGAATGTGATTACCCATGGATCTAAGTTACCTAGATGCCCCCAGACATGTCCTGAAATAACTGAACTTTGGCAATGTGTGCTTCTCAGTTATTATCCCGTCACCATTCCCAAGCAAATCACATTAAGACTACTTTGGTATTCCTAATTAAATCTGTGGTTGGCTAAACATTTTATGTGTGTAACATTTTTATATACATAATTTTTAAAAGGAAACTGGCAATTTGATTATTATACAACGTATATATATTGTATAATCAAATAATCACATATGTACTATTACAATGAGTCAATTAAAAAAAGTGAACTGGCAAAGAGAGTCATATGCAAGTTTCTCACAAGGACCAAGCTTCTTTAATAAAGCAGTATGTTCACTTCACCTGAAATTGCCAGATGTTTACTTCACCTAAAAAAGACTAAATTGCCACATTGAAATTGACTTTGACACCATCATTTTAGATAAAAGTCCCTCAGATCAGAGCCCTGACTATTAGATGCTAGGGTTATGGTGGGAAACAAGTGCTAATATAGTGCCATGATGAAAACTGTTTGCATCATCATAGATTACATTTGGAGATCTAACTCGGCTGGCCATCCTTGATGTCTCTAATTCCACTTAATCTCTCTGGTTTTCAAGGGAATCCAGCTAACTTTACAGAACCTTTTGAACTGCTTGCACAGCCATGAAAGAAGGATAATTTCCAGGACACCCAAATTTCAGGGAAATGGATTCTTAAATAATTTAATAGGAATAAAAAGAAAATTTGTAATGATTAAATTACATTTGATGGTGCTTTTCTCTATTAGTAAATATATGCTACTAAAATTGGAAATGCAGGTGCAAGCTTGTCTCTTGTAAGCTTCTAGATGAAATATCTTTATATGAAATCCCATAAGTGGTAAGAGGATCAGGATATACGTATATTAGGGGGTGCATAAGGGTAGCTCCCACTCAGATACTATCTGTGGTACATAAAGGCTCCATAAGAGTAAGTACTGCATCTGACTCAGTAAATATTTGATGAGTGAATTTATAAATACAATAAGTGCTCTCTGTCTCATTCCACCTCCACCCCACCTGCACTTCTGCAGACACAAACATACAAAGATAAATGCACAATGCATAGCAAGATTATGGGGGAGAGGAAGAAAATGAAGAACCCCAGGCTGGTTTACAGGTAGTGAGTATGGGTCCAACAGTGCCTGTGATTAATAGCCAGCAATTGTTCAAATTTGTAGATGTTTCAGTAGCAACATTCGTCAAATATTTTGAATACCACCCCATGCCCCTTTATTTAACCTGGTTTTATTCAAAGCTAAGCACCTGCTATCCTAAAATATCCTTGAAATCAGAACCAAACAGAATTCCTGAAGGTGATTAAGGGAAGTCAAGCTGAACAAGAGGATGAACTGTGGTCATGGTTACCTCTATCTCAACTAGACCAGGCTTTAGAACTTCACTGCAGAATACTGAAGCCGCCTAGGCAAAACCTTTGATCTGAGGCAGGTTAGTAATTTAGGACGCGCACTAGGTTGGAATTTATGATAGAGTTTTTTTTTTTTTTTTTTTTTTGAGACAGAGTCTCACTCTGCTGCCTGGGCTAGAGTGAGTGCCGTGGCGTCAGCCTAGCTCACAGCAACCTCAAACTCCTGGGCTCAGGCGATCCTACTGCCTCAGCCTTCTGAGTAGCTGGGACTACAGGCATGTGCCACCATGCCCGGCTAATTTTTTCTATATATATTTTTAGTTGTCCAGATCATTTCTTTCTATTTTAGTAGAGACAGGGTCTCACTCTTGTTCAGGCTGGTCTCGAACTCCTGACCTCGAGCAATCCACCTGCCTCGGCCTCCCAGAGTGCTAGGATTACAGGCGTGAGCCACCGTGCCCGGCCTATGATAGAGTTTTAACCAGAGCTCTTCCACTAACTTTCAAACAGATTTGAGAGAAATCATTTCAGTAGGTGTTTGTTAGTTAATCCATACAATGAGTTCAGGATATTTTAATTCTGGGATCCCTTCCATCAGCTAATGAAATCAGGTGCACCTTTTTCTGAAAGAGGATTCTTTCAATAGTGAATGTATAAGGACACGACAATGTGTTGCATAAGGACTATATCTTAATCCCGCCATTTTAAATTCCTATTGGTATTTATAGAATGGTTTGATATGTGTATGACATTAAATTCTACATAAATATTTTAAAATTTGGCTTAAAAGAGTTTATAACTTGTGCCAGCCAATAGTAAGTAGTTCCACTCTGGAGGTCACCTGTGTAAGAGAAAAGGATACTTCACACATCAGTATTTGTGAAAGTGGACTTTAAAACCAAGCCCCAACATGTTTAACTCAGCCATATCTTCATTGGTGTTTCAATAAATTAAACAAGTTGTGGCAAGGTCCTGCGATTTCCATTCCCATATATTATAATAAAGAAGTGCTGATAAAAGTCTGAAACATTTGCCTTTTACTGCTAATCAAGAGAGCAACATACTTATCATTCACGGAAATCAATGGAAGTCCACTCTTAGCCAAGCTTGCCTGTTCATTCCTTGAGTGTGGATTGCACATGAATATTGGTAAACATAAATAGAAATAACAGCTAATTGCAATGAATATATTTAGAGGATCCATTGCTATAGAACTTTTCAGAACTTTTAATATCCAAACATACTTATCACTTTCCAGAGAAGAGCACATGGTATATTCCACATTTATCAAACTTTGTTCCAGTGAATTACTCATTTCTTTAAATGAGTGTTCACAGGGATCACATTTTGGAGAACACAATGTGTAAAATGCTATTTTAGTTTATTTTCTATTAGGGAGTCAAATAGAGTCAATATTTATCAATAAATTGCTATCCTGTCTCTGTCTGCCAAACACATTTTTTATATTTTATTGAAGTTTAGCTTAGAGCCTATGTTGGAGTGAAAAGGACCCTTAATTATGGTCCAGTTGTCTAATTTTACAGGTAGTAAAATGGGTGCCCAGGAAGATGGAATAACATGCTTAAGAGTCACATTGTGAGTTCGAAGTTGTTCTGGGATTAGAATATGGATTCCTTATTCCTTAGCCCACATTTTTTTCCGTTACCCTACACTGACTCTCTTCATATTTGCCATAGTTGATCTCAACAGAATGTTTATGAAGAAACTTTGAATATGTTAACTACAATCAGATGTATTTTAGGTTCTTCAAATAGAAGACCCTTCTGACAATTCAAATTACACTGTCCAAAACTGAATTTATTTCTTTCTCCTTATGTGACAGTATATACGCAGTGACTAAGAACATAGTCTTTGAAATCAGCCCACTTAGAGTCTTCAATATACTCAGTGATTCCCACATCTTCGGCTTTTCTCATGCTGATACTTTGGACTGGATTGTTTTTCTACCAATATCTCATACATAAAAGTTCAGCTTTATCTTCAAATAGAATTGAAACACTTGTAATAAGCACATGATGTTTTTAATTAAATCGATTTGAACCAAACAATTTCTGTCTCCCCTTTCTCTATCATTGCTGCTTTTAGAGATCCAGTAGTGGAAAGTATACACAAGGTTACAATGCCCTTTCCTCAAATTAGTTTTAATTAACCAAATTTTATCTAATTATCATTAATAATGGCCATTTGAGTAATGGCACACTTTTGAACTGCACGTAATTCTGAACCATTTCTCTAAGATTTCCTTGTTTATTAAAATTGCCTAGCTAACTGCTTAGAAACAGTGCATCTGTTTAATTCAATAAATATTTACTGGGCACTTACTATGTGCAAGGCTCTGTACTGAGTCTTGTATTAACCAATGTATTAAATGGGATGTGGTATCCTTATTTTCAAATAGGGTCTAATTATTTTTGAAAATGTCCACCAAACCGGTATATATCCATTGTTTCTTAATTTTACATTTTGTATCACTATTTTTATTTCCCAGTAGTAGCAAATATGATTAAGTGTACTTAAGGAAATAGATCTCAGCATAGAAATGCTGACAGGTTTTAGGAAATGAGATCAGTAATTTTTCAAACTTTGTCAAATAATTTATATTATTTTGACCAGGGTTAGTCTAGTATTTTGGAGTAGAAATATATTTTCTAACCATTTCCTCTTAGAAGCTGAAAATGTATATCCATACTGCATTATTCTCACCAAGGATTTCTGGATTGTAGGCTTTTGGCCCTTAAACCTTTAGGCAGTGATAATAAAGATACCATCCTTGTGCTTAAAAATAACAGTGAAAATAACATATATTGAATTGATGAACAGATATACTAGAGATCCAGAGTGATTTGAGACCCGGGCTGGCCATGGAAACCTTAAAAAAGATATGAAGGGAATGGCTATTAGGTCTTCATTTTATTTATATACTCAAAATTTTTAACATTTATTAAACAAATATGATCTGGAAAGCCCTGGGCTGGTTGTAATCAGGGATATTTTTAAGACACAGTTTATGACCTCAAGGAGTAGCTTGGTGATTGGAGGGACAGTTCTGAGGTATTGGAAGGGCACTGAACAAGTGCCCTGATTTGTCTACTCAGTAACTGCGTGACTGGAAACCAACCTAATCTCCTTGAGCTTTGATTTACTCATCCATAAATTGAGTGTAAAAGGAGAATCTACAACATCTAGTTTTAAGGACTAAATCAAAGGACACATATGTAATTATCTAGCATGGTACTGAAAACATAGTAATGA